TTTAATTAAGTCAAATAAAATTAAGACTAATTTATTTTCAAAATTTTCTATTAAACAGTTTGGCAGTTTGAAACGATTTTGCAAATATTGAAATCTAAACCAAACGAAGCAGTTTGGTTCGGTTGAAAACTTAAACGTTGACGGATCCACGTGAAACCAAATCAACGGTTTCAAAAAATTCGATTTCAGTTCGATTTTGCGGTTTCGCTGTTCAACCCTATCGAGAACTAGGAAATTAGTTAGGGATATAGGACTACATTAAGCCGTTTTTTATTTCTTAGTTGACTTCAAAGATCCTTAATTATAATAAAATTAGAGGGACTAATAGTGAAACCTGGCTTAAAATTCTGAAGCATTTCATGGGCAGAATGCTTATCCATCAGTCCTGAGAAATAGAGCAGCAAATTGCTCCGTCCAAATACAGAAACAAAGCCAACCTTGAAGAAATGAAATAACATTAAAAGATTTCGTCATGCTAATACACTGTATTTCTCATATGACACTGAAATAATGCCTATCTCAAAGGATATTGGACATAAATAAAAAGCTTGTCCGAAAACTCAACAACAGAAAGCATTGCACGGCTAAAACTACAAGCATAACCCGTGCTTGCCCTGATTTCTTCCTTCTTTTGAGCATGGACATAAGAACTTCTATCACGAATATGAATGACCTAAATCCTTAGCTGAGTACAACCTAGTACAGTTCCCCCGCATCGGGTCATAGGAGACATGAGACGCCAAACTGGTCTCTCATTTCCGAGTGTCAGAACATCAACATCAGACGTCACTTTTATATCCCAATTTAACCTGTCCGGGCCAATAACCCCTCCAATGATATAAATATCGTCTCCCAGTCCAATCATCGCGAAACCAATCTTCCTACGGAACTCGGATGCTGAGACAACCAGCTTACTCGATTCTGTCTCCTGCTTGTAAATCTGCCCATGACTCATTATGTACAGCTTCCCTTTAACAACTGCCATGGGACCCTGAAGCCAACCGTAGTCATAAACCGTCCACCCCTGCTTAATATTGTCCAAAACTTGGACGGTCGATAGACCTTTGTGTAAGACGTGAATCTTACCTCGAATGACAACTCCTGTACAAGCAGAATTGTGTGTGCGGTGGAGATCCGGTATTGAAACCCACAAGTCCTTTTCCGGGTCGTAGACTTCTGTTTTAGAGATTGATTTCCGGCAGTTAGTAAAGCCACCGGCAACCACTATCTTTCCATCCAACACACAACATGCAAACATTGCACGAGGGACGATCATGGACGCCCGGGGTTGCCATTTCCGATCTACAGGGTCATATGACCAGACCTCGTCAGTTGCAAAACTTCCATCCTCGTCACCTGTCAAAGGATCCATGGCATCACTTCCACCACCTAGCACAAAGAGTTTTCCTGCAGTAGAGACGACACCGAAGTGGGCAAGGTGCCTGATATTTGAGGGGAGAACCGGGAGAGTAATCCAGAGGTCATGACGAGGATCGTAGAGCTGCCACAAATTGTCAGGGTCATATGCGCACACGCATATAAACTCCTCAGTTGATTCAACCTCCTGTCGGGCATTGAAAAGTTCGGTGCTATGAATGGCAGCTCGCCAGGAACGGGAAACAAGCTCTAACTTGGGATGAATGTAGAAAGGTACCCGTGCAAGGCACCTGATGACAACAGCATCCGGAAGGCCTTCAACAAGTCCAGACATGACTGTGTCACTAATTTGTATTTCGATTATTTCACGGTTGAAATGGTTGGTTGAACAATCACGATCTGTTGCTAGGCTGGAACTGGCTTTGAAATCGCAACTGAAGCATTAAATCAACAAATATAAAAAATTAATACAACATAATTGTAGAAAAATGCAGAAACTGAAGACAATATGTATCTGTATTTAATGCACGTATCTCTGTGTAATATAAAATCCTAAAATGTTCAAAACGTTAAAAAAGAAATAAAAGATATGAATCCATTCCATGGATGAAGCTCAAATGCAGTAGAATTATGCTGCCAGCTCCAAACCCTTAACATACATGACGGGTTCAATCAAAGGCCCATTTCCCACTTTACAAGGTCCTTGAACTACAATTCTTAACAGATACAGCATTACACAGATGCACACACATAGGCATAAACTGCTTTCCACCTGTTAAAAATCTAGTTATTGGAATTCAGGGGCATGCTAATGATTTGAAACAGTAAGCAGAGCTTTCCCTCTTTAACCATTATGAGGCACAAATATTCAAATAAAAAATAATCATTACAAATGACATTTTTATTCAGATATTAGAAGCATTCTC